GAATTGTTTTATCGATAATAGTTCATTTTATCTTGATTTTTTAATGTGTGTTTAACTGTCCTTCAGCATAAGATAATTTCCATTCTTCTGTTTATAATTTTTATTTTAAAATATCTTTATATTTGTATTATAAGGGATTTCAGTTTTAGTACATTCCTTAATGTTCGTCCTATAGTGATTTTTTGCCAAATCTTTTCGATGTCCTTCTTTTTTTATATAATTTTTCATATAATATTATAATATTTTATTAGCATTCTATTTTTTTTTTATTATAATGGACATTAGTAAATATTTTTTAGATTTTTTTATTATTTGACTGCTACAGGTGTTTTTATGTCATCCTAATCTTGCTTGATTTTCGTATTCTGATTTTATTGATATAACCTCTAATTCTTATACAACTTTATCCTTTATATATCATTAACTATTAGTAATTTTTATTGATATTAATATTTAATAGTTTAATGTCATTTCTATTTTTTGATAATTCTTTGTGCAGAGCGATCGCCCTCGGCACTTATCCTGGTTCAACATCTGTGATACCTCAATTGGTTTATTGAATCATATAAAACATTAACACACCTGTAAAACCGATACATTTACATATGTTATGTATTAGATATTGTTGGCATCCAATATCTGGGGTAACATATCGCGTAGGCGCAGGAATATACATATACTGGAAGAAACCTCCAGTAAAATGGCGCATTAGTGCACAAAAATATTCAATCTTAGGCCTCAGCAAAATGGCTGATAGACAGCACTGATAGGTGGCACTGACTGGCATCACTGCTGGCACTGACTGGCATCACTGCTGGGCTGCACTGGTGGGTGGCACTGGTGGGCACAGGTAGGTGGCACTTCTGGGCACAGGTGTGTGACACTGCTGGGTGGCACAGGTGGGTGCACTGCTGGACACAGGTGGCGGAGCTAGTGGGCGCACTGCTAGGCACAAATGGGTGGAGCTACTGGGCGCACTGCTAGGCACAGATGGGTGCAGCTAGTGGGCGCACTGCTAGGCACAGATGGGTGGAACTTGTGGGTGGCACTGCTGGGCACAGGTGGGCGGAGCTAGTGGGTGCACTGCTGGGCACAGATGGGCGGAATGTGTGGGTGGCACTGCTGGGCACCAATCATCAGGGCACTGATCATCAGTGCCCTGATGATCGGTGCCGATCCCCGCTCTAACAACCGCCGGTTCTCCGCAGTACTTTCTTCACGATCTGACAGCGTGAGAAAAGTGCAGCCGAGAACCGGCAATTGCATTTCCCTGTGATCAGCGTGTCATTGGACACGGCTGATCACGTGGTAAAAGGCCGCTGTGATTGGCCTTTTACCACATCACGTGATCAGCTGTGTCCGTAGGACACAGCAATCACGGAGGTTGCCGGGGGCACGCAGGAGAGCGCGATCAGGGAGGACGTCATATGATGCCCACCCAGAACTGTCCAGCCGTAGTGTACCCGTCATTCAGCTATCTGCGGTCGGCAAGTCGTTAATACGCATGCAGCATTTTGCCTATATAAAGCCCTATGTCACGTCATGGCGTCAATGGTATCTTCCTCTGATGAAGTGCGTGCACATGTAACTCGTAAGGAGGAGCCAGGACGTCATGACGCTACGCCGCCGGAGCCACGTGGAGGCCCGGCGGCCATCTGTGACTCTGGAGGGTTAGTTCATCTCTGCAATAAATATTATATTTGAATTACTACACTATGGGCTCCCTTCCCTGACTCTTTTGAGGAGTATTTATTTGCAGAGCCCACTTGTGTGATCCAGTTGCCTACCCATCATTCTTATCCAGAGAAGGAAGTTATCCTGTAAGTAGGCAGCCTCTCCTCCTATCCCTTAAAGGGACCTATGGTTACCTGGATCCATGTAATCTGTTACTGGGCATTGCTGACCACAACCCTGAGGGAGGACCATCTAAGCCCTGACCACACCTTTATCTGATGAGGACACCCTGAATATGATACTTACTGCGTATAACTATTACGCATCTGGTGAGTGCGTAATGCTGCCATATTTCTCAGAGCACCACCACAAATTATAACCAGTCACCTGGCACCTTATAGTCACATAGACTGTCATTTATATTGAACTTTTATTATCAGTTTGTTGTCTAATAACTCCTTTTCATGTGATTTATACACAGCATGTTTGTTACAATGAATGTTTTATTATATCTTTCAGAGTGGAATCCTCGGGGATGATAATATTGATGTTAAAGAAGAGTATAAAGAGGAGGATGAGGAGTATGGAGTGATGGAGGAGTTTTCAGAAGGACACAAGGATATGATGGAGCCACCTAATACCAGGAACCCACCAGAGAGATGTCCCGTCCTCTGTATTCCCGGGATTCCACACAGGAAGGTCACACCATCCCTCATCATCAGGTAGATTACAATTGGTAGTTGTGATTTATACACAGCATGTTTGTTACAATGAATGTTTTATTATATCTTTCAGAGTGGAATCCTCGGGGATGAGAATATTGATGTTAAAGAAGAGTATAAAGAGGAGGATGAGGGATGGAGTGATGGAGGAGTTTTCAGAAGGACACAAGGATATGATGGAGCCACCTAATACCAGGAACCCCCCAGAGAGATGTCCCCGTCCTCTGTATTCCCGGGATTCCACACAGGAAGGTCCCACCATCCCTCACTATTACAAGGTTGGTGGGATGGAGAATCTAGAACATGGACTTTGGAGACAATGTGTGGATGTTTATGTGACCTTACATTTTACAGATGATATTTTCTCTCATTTCCTTGATTTAGAGTGGAGATCCAATCGATATAGAATTTGAGGTGAAAGCAGAAGAAGAAGAGGCGTATGTGAGGGATGATCAGCAGTCTATGGAGGAGGATGGAATAACGGGGACATTTATAGAGGAGGACACTCCTACAGAGATCAGCACAGGTGGGTCATGAACACTAAATCCATTCCTCCACCCATACTGCTCACTGATTGGTCCAGAGTAGGGCGGGGACTGGGTGATATCAGCCTGTAATCCCCTGGTCACTTTCCTGAGCTGTGTTCCCCGTCCTGTATTCCTGGATTTCTCTCGGATAATCTTCCTTCTCTGTGCTGCAGACACAATTTATGTATCTAGACTGGATTTATGGAGGTTCTGGGGTTCAGCTGGCAGCAAAATGATAGATTTTTACCATAGATGTTACTAGACCTAGGCACCTGGGACATGTGATTTGGGTCTTCTGCCCCATTTCCGGGTCTAGTAAGATCTCTGACCACACAATTCTCCCAGGGTTCCTTGCTCTGTTATTTCCTGGCTGTGCCGGGTGGAGGGATATGTCTGTATAGTCTCAGCCCCAAGTCACTGAGTGCAGTCTCAGGAGATGGGAGGCAGCGGTGTGGGATCTCTGCAACTTGTCTACAGTAAACATTTAATGTTCCTCTGATTACTGAATACCAATATTATGAGTCCTGACCCTTACACTGTATAATTTATATTGTACATTACATACTCCTGACCCCTGCACTATATACTCTGTGCTGTACATTACATACTCCTGACCCCTGCACTATATACTCTATGTTGTACATTACATACTCCTACTCCTGACCCCTGCCTATATACTCTATGTTGTACATTCCATAGTCCTGACCCCTGCACTATATACTCTATGTTGTACATTACATACTCCTGACCCCTGCACTATATACTCTATGTTGTACATTACATACTCCTGACCCCTGCACTATATACTCTGTGTTGTACATTACATACTCCTGACCCCTGCACTATATACTCTGTGTTGTACATTACATACTCCTGACCCCTGCACTATATACTCTATGTTGTACATTACATACTCCTGACCCCTGCACTATATACTCTGTGTTGTACATTACATACTCCTGACCCCTGCCCTATATACTCTATGTTGTACATTCCATAGTCCTGACCCCTGCACTATATACTCTATGTTGTACATTACATACTCCTGATCCCTGCACTATATACTCTATGTTGTACATTACATACTCCTGACCCCTGCACTATATACTCCATGTTGTACATTACATACTCCTGACCCCTGCACTATATACTCTATGTTGTACATTACATACTCCTGACCCCTGCACTATATACTCTGTGTTGTACATTACATAGTCCTGACTTCTGCTCTCCCCCCCCCTCCCCCCACTGCTATATATACACATAATACGGATCCTCTTTTGTTGCACCCATTTCCTCCCAGCTGGACATTTTATATCGGATGAAGTGATTGGAGCACAGACTTTTACATGGTGATAATAATGTGATAACATCCTCCAACTTTGGACCCTTAAACAGAAAGTGATAATGAGGGAGGAGTCAATACCCCAATGATGGTGGTCTTCAGGATCAGTCCAGTCTTCATCTTGGTTGTTCTCCCCCCATCTTCACTCTCTGACCTCTGGTGGGGCTCAGCCCCGCTGTTCTTCATGACTAAATCATGGACTAAATAAGGAAGTGCAGTACGTCTTGTGTTGGGAAGATGGCGATGAGTGATAGAGGGGGTGGGGGACCCTCGTCCTATAATCCCCTCATCACTGTCCCTCCTATAAAAGACAGTTCTGGTTGTTTCCTCACTCTCTGACTAAGGTCATAAATAAAGAAATGACCTGGTAGGAGATCAGAGGAGCCATTTCCTAGTTCCCTTGAGGGTGGAATTGTAAGCTCCTCAGAGACCAAGCTGCCTGATGTGGGCGGTGTCCTGGTTTGGGGGAACCAATCAGCTCCTGTCTAGTAATCCTCTTTGTCTTTGTATTTTAGTCCATGGCCGGGAGATGAGGGAAACCTGCGAGGATTGTCTCACTTTGTCTCCAGACTGGAAAGTAGAAGATGAGGACATCACACAGTATAGTCCAGGAGAAAACCCGGCTCCCTCCAATGTCCATCCGGCACCACCCAGTGTAGATGGACCATCGGATTCCTCGTATCCTGAGGAACCTCAGACTGTGCGGGACCGGGGCCGGCCTTCCAACAGGGAAGCACTTCTCCTGTACTGAGTGTGGGAAATGTTTCAACTTTAAATCCAATCTTAGTAGGCATAAAAGATCTCACACGGGGAGAGAAGCCATATTCCTGTCCTGAGTGTGGGAAATGTTTTTCAGATAAGTACAGTCTGCGCACACATCAGAGATCTCACATGGGGGAAAAGCCGTGTTCCTGTCCTGAGTGTGGGAAATGTTTTTCAGATAAGTCCAGTCTGCACACACATCAGAGATCTCACACGGGGGAAAAGCCGTTTTCCTGTCCTGAGTGTAGGAAATGTTTTTCACAGAAGTCTAATCTTCATAGTCATCAGAGATCTCACACGGGGGAGAAGCCGTATTCCTGTCCTGAGTGTGTAGGAAATGTTTTTCAGATAAGTCTAGTCTGCACACACATCAGAGATCTGTCATGGGGGAACAGCCGTATTCCTGTCCTGAGTGTGGGAAATGTTTTTTCACAAAAGTCCCATCTTTTCAGACATCAGAGATCTCACACGGGGAAGAAGCCATATTCCTGCCCTGAGTGTGGGAAATATTTTTCACAGAAGTCCCATCTTTTCAGACATCAGAGATCTCACACAGGGGAGAAGCCATATTCCTGTCCTGAGTGTGGGAAATGTTTTTCACAGAAGTCCAGTCTTTCCAAACATCAGAAATCTCACATGGGGGAGAAGCCACTTTCCTGTCCTGAGTGAGGGAAATGTTCCTCACTGAAGTCCTGTCTTCCTGTACATAAGGGGTCCCACACAACCCTGGAGGTGTATTAGTGCCCTGAGTGCGGGAAATGTCTTCTAGATGAATGTTGCTGGACATCCCAGCTCTCATGTGGGGAAGAAGCACACCCTGATATACACCTCAGATATACTCCATGGCTGATCTTCATCATGGAAGAAACAGTTCATGAGGAGATCAGAGGTCCCCAAAGACATGGATGAAGTGTGGGACCGGGTTGGCAATTGATAGCAGGAGAAGAATAAAAATAGAGTCCTTCCCTAGAGCACTGGGCTGACTTCTCATTGGGGTGCAGCCTATATACTAGAGATGATTTGCACCTATATGGAAGGGGGTCTGCTGTGCTGGGGGAGGGGTTTATTGGAAGACTGGAGGAGTATATAAACTAGGATGGAGGGGAGGGAGAATTCAATTATAACGGGGTAGACAGATCAGACAGGTCAGTACTTATTGGGGGGTGGAATGGGGAAAGATGGGGGAGGGCTATGGCAGATGATAAGAAGGTTCCCATGTTACAAACAACCAGTGGAATTGGTACCATTTGTATGAAAATAAAAAATACACAAAATCCATGTGAACAAGGTGTCAGAGAATGGACAAGGTGTCAGTGAGTGGACAAAGTGTCAGTGAATGGAGAAGGTGTTGGTGAATTAATAAGGTGTCGGTGAATGAACAAGGTGTCGGTGAATGAACAAGGTGTCAGTGAATGGACAAGGTGTTGGTGAACAGAAAAGGCGTCAGTGACCAGACAAGGCGTCGGTGAATGGACGAGGCGTCAGTGAACGAACAAGGTGTCAGTGAATGGAAGTGTTTGTTCCCCAATGCCAGAAGTGTGCCCAGCACAATCGGTGAGTTGGAAGCGGTGCATTTGATGTAAATCCTAGTTTTCTACATAAAGACTAATTCTTCTGGTATAACTTTAATATACAAGTAGATGAAGATTTTTAGAATAACAACTTTTCATATTAGTTTTTTTCTCCCCAGTTTAATAGGTTAATCATTCATATTTGGACAACTTTTCTGTTACTTCGGAAGGAGAAAAATAATCATTACCTTAATAATAACAATGTAAATAGATTTATTCATCTGAAACAACAACATTCCAGCATTTGTGATTTCCATCCATGTTTGGTCACTAATTTGGCTAAACAAAATATATACAGTTGTGTTCACAATAATAGCAGTGTGATGAAAAAAGTGACTAAAGCTGCAAATCCTTCTAATCCTTTTATTTCCATCCACACAAATGCATTGGGAACACGACACATTCTATTCCAAATCACAACATGAAGAAAAATACATCAAATTTGTGTTGTTCCTCTAAAAAAATGGAAGAAAAGTGAATATTAGACGGTTCAAAAAAATGGCCGTGTTTGTATTCTTCTTTACAAACTCCAACATTCACTATATAAACTGAGAAATGTTTGAAGATTTTGCTTTCCTTTGAATGACTTCATGAATATTTGGTTGTAGTCGCACTGTTTCTGAGAACTGCTGTACATCTGTGTTGCATGGAGTCACCCAACTTCTGGCCCCTGTGATCAGGTATTCCAGCCCAGGATGATTGGACCACATTCCACAGTTCTTCTCTATTTCTTGGTTTGGCCTCAGAAACGGCATTTTTGATGTCACCCCACAAGTTTTCTATTGGATGAAGATCCGGGGATTGGGCTGGCCACTCCATAACGTCCATCTTGTTGCTCTGGAAGCAAGATGTTGCATGTTTACTGGTGTGTTTGGGGTCGTTGTCTTGTTGGAACACCCATTTCAAGGGCATTTCCTCTTCAGCATAAGGCAGCATGACCTTGTGATGGATTTGGTAAAATGCCTATTTCGTTTCCTACTGAATATATATATATATACGCTATTTCTATAAGTTTTATAAATATTTACTTTTATACTTTAATACATATGTTGTGTGAATATTTTCTGCCTGCTGGGCTTTGTGGTACTATAAGAAATCCTTGCTTAAGAAATGTCTGCTCACACACACAGACCCCCTCCACCGTGTGATTTGGAAGACAAAAGAATGTTTTCCTATAAGATAAGACTGAAGAGAAGATCACACCTATACCATGACGGAGATTGTTTTCGTGTGGAAATGACCAATCAAAGACTAATATAATGCTTATGCTGTTGTCACATGACTCTTGCATCATTCTGCATATATAAGCTCACTTTCTCATTATAATAAACTAGAAGTGTTCATAGACTGAACTTGTGTGTCAGCGTGAGTCTCTTCCAGTGTGCGCACATTCCAAAGCTAGCGTCATAAATTAGGACAGGAACAGATAAGCACTGGACATATTTAGTCCTCTACTAAATCAATATGAAGGATGGGACATTCTGGGTAGTCTGTCTCTCTCTGACATGAAGGACGGGACATTCTGGGTAGTCTGTCTCTCTCTGATATGAAGGACGGGACATTCTGGGTAGTCTGTCTCTTTCTGATATGAAGGATGGGACATTCTGGGTAGTCTGTCTCTCTCTGACATGAAGGACGGGACATTCTGGGTAGTCTGTCTCTCTCTCTGATATGAAGGAGGGGACATTCTGGGTAGTCTGTCTCTCTCTCTCTGATATGAAGGAGGGGACATTCTGGGTAGTCTGTCTCTCTTGGTCTCTGATATGAAGGACGGGACACTCTGGGTAGTCTGTCTCACTATGATATGTAGGACGGGACATTCTGCGTAGTCTGCCTCTCTCTGATATGAAGGACGGGACATTCTGGGTAGTCTGTCTCTCTCTCTGATATGAAGGGTGTGACATTCTGCATAGTCTGCCTCTCTCTGATATGAAGGACGGGACATTCTGGGTAGTCTGTCTCTCTCTGATATGAAGGATGGGACATTCTGGGTAGTCTGTCTCTCTGATATGATGGACAGGACATTCTGGGTAGTCTGTCTCTCTCTGATATGAAGGATGGGACATTCTAGGTAGTTTGTCTCTCTCTGATATGAAGGACAGGACATTCTGGGTAGTCTGTCTCTGTCTGATATGAAGGACAGGACATTCCGGGTAGTCTGTCTCTCTCTGATATGAAGGATGGGACATTCTGAGTAGTCTGTCTCTGTCTCTGATATGAAGGATGGGACATTCTGGGTAGTCAATCTCTCTCTCTGATATGAAGGATGGGACATTCTGGGTAGTCTGTCTCTGTCTCTGATATGAAGGATCGCTTCTCGGCCTTTTGGCTAAGATCAAGTGCAGTTTCGGCTCCTTGTTTCTTGGCCAGAAGGTGCCTGGGGTACCCGAAGGTCGGCCTTGGGGGGAGCGTCCCTTTTCAGAGGGCCCCCCCTTGCTGCTATTGGCCTAAGGCTTAGTCCCCAGGCAACGAGTTGCGATCGCCCCCACCAGTCTCCCTAGGGTGACTGGTGGTGGGGTTGGCGGTAGGCGGACTGCAGGTATGGCGTCAGGTGCTCTGGATGCATCTAATACCTTGAGGCTGGTGGTGGCCGAGCCTAGAAGACGGAATGTCGGTTTGTACTTCATTCAGAAGGAATTGATTGAAGACTGTCTAGGTATGGCGAGAGAATCTATCTTTTGCGTGCAATGTTTCCCCAGTACTGGCTTGTATGATGTTACATTCTGGAAGAGGGAAGATTTGCAGACAGTGTTGCTACGGATGGGCGAGAAGGAAGGTGAGGACATACTGGAAGGTATCATGGTCATGAGCAGTGAGACAAAGGTTCGGGTGCCAATAACTGTTCATATGTTTATCCCCTTTGTGAGAGATGAGGAGATTTGGGCTTTCCTCATGCGTTACTGCGTGTCTGTGTCAGCAGGTGTGAAACAGACTAATGGGCTGGGCACATTTAATGGGCATCGGAAGTTCTGGGTGATCTTTAAGCCTGACTTGGGGGGTGCAGGAGGCGTGTGCCACCCCCTCAGACCTTCTCCATTGGCAGTAATAGGGGATACTTATGGTATCCAGGGCAACCCCGATTCTGCAGGCAGTGCTTTGCCTTCGGTCATACCAAGGACCAGTGCGAGGCCGGGCTGGTGTGTCACAATTGCTTTAAACAGGGACACAGGACATCCGATTGTACGGAGAGAAGGAAATGCCACTTATGTGGCAGTTGTGACCACTTGGCAAGGCAGTGTCCCAAGGTGCCAAAAACCACAGCGGAGGTGGTTGAGGTAGAGGGCAGAAGAAATGAGCCGGAGACACTGTCTTATGCGGATGTGACAAAGGGGGCGGGCCCCTTGACAAAATCAAACCATCCTAGAGGGGACCGAAAGGCTGCCTGAGGAAGAGGTGGGGCGAACTGATGTTTGCCTACCTATGGAGGGTGAGCCAGGTCCCCCCCCTGTGGAGGCCGGAGGCTTAGAGGGGGCTTCTCCTGGGATAGAGGAGGATGTCCCTGAGAGCTTGATGGCGGAGGGGGAAGTATTTGAAGGATGTGGAGGAGACGGATGAGGAGGAGGTCGCCAAGATGGAGGTGGAGCAACTCTCCTTAAAAAGGAAAATGGAGGCCGCGGGGCCTGTCGCTTCCTTCTCAGAAGATTGAGGAATTTCCAGATAGCCCGGGCCTCAGGGGTGCCAGAGATGGCGACCGAGTCCGACTCATCGCAGGCCTACGCTAGCACTGGTCAGGTAGCCTGTTTGCAGGAGGTAATGGGGTATATGGGAAGACGGAGCCTAAGGAGAAGGTCAAAAAAAACAGAGGCTGAGAGATTAGACATTCCCAGTGTTAGGTTGGAGGAGGGGCCCAGGACTCGAAGCGCAAAAGCCAGAGGGAAAGCAAGCAAGAGATGACAAGAAGTATGATCCTTTCCACACATAAGACATGCAACTACGGCTATCCTCTTTGAACGTGAGAAGCATCGGATCGGTACACAGGAGAGCGGCAATTTTTCAAATTTTTGCCAGGTACCATACAGATATCCTTTGCGTGCAGGACTGTAACATGCAAGAGGAGCTGTCGGTTGCAAAATGGAACTATGGGGAAGCTATATGGTC